CTCTCTCTCTCTCTCTCTCTCTCTCTCTCCTCGTCCATCTTTCTCCCTCTTTCTTCGTCGCCTATTTTCGTTTACTATCAGTTGTTAATTCCATTTGATTATCACGTGTTTTTATTTCATTGGGAGAAGTAAATTTAATGAAACTATCCCGTCTAGGATAAACATACGTCGAAATTGTCGAAAATAATTCGAAATTAATCCTCGGTGAATCTTCTTTTCTCTTTTTTTTCTTCGCCTGACGTACAACGAATTTCTATTTTTACGCGATTCACAATAATATGCACAACGCGCGCAAATAGAACGCGAACGTTGCTAATGAGGTTATGATACATTGACATTTTGGTTTAAGGGGTGTTCGCACCGGTGTTTCCTCGGTGAAGAAAAAATCGATTCTTTTTATTTAGGATACATAACATCTGGAATATGTATGTAACATGTTCTTTTATTGTCTCGTGGGTCCATTACATTATTTCGAAAAATGATAGGACAGGTCTCTATGTTTCCCACCGACTGACATTGTGAAAAATCCCCCAGTGCGGTTAAACGAACCTATGCTAAATTCTCATTATTCGTTAGCTTGCGCTTGCGAATAACAAAACATACTTTTACTTCCGGCAAGAATATCGATACCAAACGATCTCGTCGATTCAACGTACTTCATTCCATTATGTAACTCAACGCATCATTCCCAATGAAATACGTCTGATTTTTACTTGAACTTGAGAACAACTGATAAGGCTTATTTCGTTTATGCCTCCACGATCAATCGTATCTTGCTTCCATCAGATGAATTTCCACAAACGACGCTGCGGCGTTGTCGTGATTATTCGAGTTTGGTACGTGAAAATAAAAGAAGAAGAAAAAAAAAAAGAAGACAGAAATCGCTATTTTTAGTTCATCGACACTGTCGGTTCGACAGTTCACCTCGGCATGTTGAATGATGATCATCGGAGAATGATGACATCTACGGCGTGAGAATTTCTCATTTTCATCATCAAAGGAAGAGTTCCTTAGATCTTTCGCTGTTCCTTTGCTTTGTAATTAAACGAAGAAAACCGTGAAATAAACGAAAGGTACAATTGCTAGATAAAATACTTTGGCAGTGCTCGTACATACGACTTTTCATTTCAATGATTCAAATTCAAATTCAAATGACTGAGTCGAGAATCGTTCCATTAATGGGGCACGAACAATAAAGTAATAAATATTCATTAATCGTCTATAATTCTTTATTCATATAGAAGTTCGCATATCGCATTCAGAAAATTGTATGCTGTCATCAAAGTCCCATTCCAATAAATGGAACTG